AAGGCTCTAGAAATTATGCCTGGGTTTAATTAATGAAGTTATTAAAAACATACCATTTTAATCTTATTGCACTGCTTCTTTCACTTGGTAGGTCTGAGGCCTTCCCTCTGATCCACACTTGTAGATCTGGTTTTTGCTCAAGACCTAGGGCCACTGGGTGGGCATGGGATTCGGCCCATCACCCCACTGGGGAACCAGCCAACAACAAGCTATTACGAAGCATCCCACTTCCTACTAGATCACAAAAAGTGCATGTGGGATAAAATCTTTGCTCCTGACTCAGGCCTATGCCCCCTTTCATTTTCTGACTCAGGGTGGCATCACTTTTGCACTCATTCCCGAGCCTTTGTCAGCCTCAGTGATCACAGAAGAGTCCAAAGAATACACCATTTACTGTCTGCATTCCTGAAAGGTTGCCTTTATTTCCATGCTGCTGTTCACACAGCCACTCCATAAGGAGGGAATACTACGAAGGGTTAGAATGAGACAAACCATGTAGCACCCAGAGAACAACAAGATCCAGCTCTAAGACCACAAGAACTGCTTTGCCCTTGCCCATTCCCTGAAGAGGAGTTCTTCATACAGATGCTAGGCCAGAACAGTTCTCCTGAGAGCCTCAGTGGCGCTTCTGCACTCTTTTCTTGGTCACTCCCCACCATGACCAACCTTAAGCACAGAGAGGAAGAGGATGAAGGAGGCAAGATGTGGCTAATTCTCCTCTGAAGACAGATGAAAGGAGGATAAGGATATGTAAGATGTGGAGGAAACCATCTTCAAAGAGGATTGTTAGGGGGACTCAATAGTGGGCATCCTTTTACGCTGTGTTTCAGGATGAGGAGCCTCTATGGAGGAAACTGTTGGTTCATCTGCCTTCAAAGCAGACAATGTAGTTTGGAGTGTGGACTCTCTGGTGGCACTCCAGGTGGGTGTCTGGACGGGTTCAAAGGCTTTGGAGGATATTAGTTGTCTAACATTATCCTTTGCAGGCATCAGTGGTTTTATGGTTTCCTTGACTGACTCTGGCTTTCTGTCTGTCTTCTTGGGGGCCACCACAAAGTGGCGAGGGCCTGGGTGTTTCCTTATTCTGTTGGATAAAGCTGGGTGGAGGGGTTTTAGAGTCCAAGGGCTTTCCAAAATTCGGGGCGGAGGCTCTATGGATAAATTTGAAGCGTATTGATTCTTACTTTTTCCCCTTTGGAGTATCTCAGTATCTGTGGGATAGAAAAGACAAAAACACAGATGTCTCAAATGTCGCGTCTCCAATCTTAACCAGTCATGTGATGAAATCTTAGTCATCTTTAAAATGTTAGTCCCTCACTTACCATCTCAGGTTCTTTCCTCCGAGTTCTTGCCCTACCTCAGACTTTATGCAGACTATATCATGGTCCTCCAATTGAGCATAGCACTGGAGTTTAAGAGTCTATTGTATGATGTTCTAGTTCCCTGTTGAAGCCCTCAGAAGACAGCGAGTAACATCTGCTTAACGTTCATGCATTTCACAACCATTGCTTCCAAGTCAGTTTGAACAGAAAAATGAACACATCCTCTATTAGAATGAGGGCTTTTTAAGGTCACAGGATTGTTTTGCTTGTTACTACATGCACAGTGCTCAGAAGTGAGTTACACAGTAACTGTGTAACTATTAGACATTTCTTCCTTCTAACTTTTAAAGTTACAAATTTCCCTCTAAGTCCTGATTTAGTTGTACTCCACAATTTTTGCTGTATATGCATTACCCTTTAGTTTAAAATATCTTCTTATTTTCCTTGTGATTTATCCCTTGATCAATGGGATGTACAAGGTATGATTTAAAAAACTACTGTGAATATTTAAATTAAAAAATTTACTACAGAAAAAGACACATTGCCATTAATCCCCCTCAAGATACTTCCCCTCACTTCGAACACACTTATCCCATCATTCTTGTTCCTTTCTGAAGCAGTTCTGAAGTCCTCTTTCATGACTGTCTTTAGTTGCGCTGGCATGGCTGCCTCAATATCCTGAATCAATTCAAAACGTTTACTTTGCATGGTCATTTTGACTTTGGGAAAGAGCCAGAAGTCGCACAGTGTCAGATCCAGTGAATAAAGTAGATGAGGACAAAGTGGAATAATGTTTTTATTTGACAGAAATTGCCATATGCCAGAAGCAATGTGTGTCATGAAGCCTTTCTGTTGTGATCACAAAAATACAGTGAATGCTGCTGCCAAGTGCCATCCAATGGAAAGGCAGGGATCTTCAATGCTGGAAGCAGCATGTCGAGCCTTAGTAACAATGCGTGACAGGTTTCAACTTGTTTGGTGCAGTCAGTTGGGTGTGAGCTAGTTGAGAGAAGGTGTGTTTTAAAGGGTGCTGTAAATCATCCTCCATCATGACAATGCTCCGTGTCACGCATCGTTTCTGGTATACAGCAATTTCTGGCAATGAACAAATTTTGGTGTGTCCTCATCCACCTTATTCACTGGCTCTGGCACCATGCAACTTTTGGCTCTTCCCACAAAGTCAGAATGATTCAGGACATCGAGGCAGCCACGACAGCGCAACTATAGACACTCACGAAAGAGGACTTCCAGAACTGCTTCAGAAAATGGCAAGAATGATGGGACAAGTATATTTGAAGTGAGGGGGAGTATTTTGAGGGGGATTAATTGCAGTGCGTCTTTTACTGTAATAAATATTTTTTAAACATTTATCATATTGTTTGATCACACCTTGTATAGAAACATATTAACTGCAGCATTTGGAGGGTTATCTAGGTAAGTTATTAATGTTCATTTCTTATTTAATTTTGCTGTGGTCACAGAACATTCTAAGATTTCAGTCTTTTGAAATTTATTTATTGAAATTTGTTTTGTGGCTTGGCATGTGCTCTATTTTGGCAAATAGGCCATGTCTTGTACATTTGAAAATACTGTATATTCTGCAGTTGTTGGATATACTGTTTTATGTCAGTTAGGTCAAGGTGGCTGAAAGTATTGCTCAGCCATCTGTATCCTTTGTGATTGTATATTTTTTTGTGTAAAGTTGCTCTATGGGTACTGAGAAAGGATTGTTAAAATCTCTGACTATAATCTCTTTCATCCAGTTTTTGTTTAATGTGTTTTGAAGCTATGTTACTAAATGCATACATGGTTATAGTTATAATACCTTATTGATATATTAACCTTTTCATCATTATGAAATCTTTGTTTCCAGTAATTCTCCATGCTTTGAAGTCTATTTTTTCAGATATTATTGCTTATGTTGATTGTCTACATGACTTATCTTTTTCCCAAACTTCCACTTTCATCTATTTGCACCTTTGTATTTTAAGTATTTCTTTTGTAGATACCATATGGTTGGGTCTTGCTTTTTTCTATCTAGCATGACAATCTCTACATTTGATTTGAGTATTTGGTCCATTTATATTTAATGTAATTAATAAAATGGTTGGATTTATGACTACCATATTTGAACTTGTTTTTCACTTTTTTCCCCCATTATTTTGCTTCCTTTGTTGTCCTTTTCCTGAATCCATCTGCTATAAAAGATATTCTCCTGCTGGCTTTGAGGAAGTAAGCTGCCATGTTGTGAGGGGGCCATATGGCTAGGACCTGAAGGTGGACTCTAGAAGCTCAGACTAAAACCCTGCCAACAATGATAAAAAAAAAAAACAACAACAAAAAACCCAGGGTCAACATCAGTCCTACAGTTGTAAGGAACTAAATTCTGCCAACAAGAGGACTCTAAGATTCAGATGAGTTTGCAGCCCAAGTCAGCACCTGGATTGTAGCATGGTGAACTCTAAGTAGAGGACCCAGATAACCCATGCCTGGACCCATAGCTCATGGAAACTGTGAGATGATAAATTTGTATTGTTTTAAGCTATTAGGATTGTGGTAATTTATTACACAGCAATAAAAAACTAATACATACAGCAATAGAATCTATCCAAATGAAGCACAGAAACAGTCTAACAATAAAAATGAACAGAGTATCAGTAACCTATGGGATAACATATATATATATATATATATATATATATATATATATATATAATTAGAATTCCAGAAAGAGGGGAGGGGCAGAAAAATATTTAAAAAAATAGAAACTAAAAATTTATTCAATTTGATGAAAATTATACTTTGATTGATCTAAGTAGTTCAGCAAACCCCAAGCACAACAACACACACATACACTCATATAAACCATAATCAAATTACTGAAAACCAGTAACAAAAGGAACAATCTTAAATAAGCAGTCAGAGAAAAAGAACATATTACAAGTAGAGAAACAAAGATGAGAAAATGTAAGACTTTCTTTTTTTGAAAGACTTTTCATAAGAAACTATATATATACACACACACACACACACACACACACACACACACACACATATGACAGAAGACAAAGGATTGACATCTTTAAAGTGCTGAAAAATACAGCCTAAGGCTAGAAAGGTGTTGAATGCCTTCTGGTGGCAGCAGCGGGTGCAGCAGGACATGCCACCCTGGAGCGGTTGTGGTGCAAAACGTGCTTACTGTTGGAGACTCTATCCCCCTCAGCCTGAATGGATCTAGACTGAGGTTCTGGCTTCTGTCGTCGTCATTATTCCCTCTCTGATTCTAAGTGTAGCCCTCTACCTTATAGGTGTTTCTTAGAGGTATTCAAACAGCCTTTTGATATATTTTTCTTTCTGCTTAGATCAGGCAAAATTAGTTTCTGTAACAACAAACTAAAAACTCTTAAAACTCTTAATTTATTTTCTACTCACCTTATTTTCTTATCATTTCAACATGGTGGGGAGTTGGGGTCAAGTTAACGGAATACTTTTTCTAAGGCATGATAGCCATTTCCTTCATCCAAATTTAGACAGTTCTTCAAATTTTCCTTCAAAACTTCTCTCCCTTCCATGATTTCCTCACCATTTCCATGTACTTCTCATTTCTTGGCTGAATTACTGTTATGGGCTGAATTGTGTGCTCCCCAAATCCACATGTTAAAGCCCTAACCCCCAGAACCTCACAATCTGACTATACTTGGAGATATTAGGGTGGGCTCTAATCCAATCTGACTGGAGAAGAGAAAATTCAGACACAAAGAGAGACACTGGGGATGCGTGTGCTGCAGAGAAAAGGCTGTGAGGATGCCGTAAGAAGGCGCCTGTTTGCAAGCCAATGAGCGAGGCCTCAGAAGAAACCAAACCTGCTGACACACTTATCTTGAATTTCTAGCCTCCAGAGCTCTGAGAAAATAAACTTCTGTTTAAGCCACCAGCCTGGGATACTTTGTTATGGTTAATGTACTAATACAACTACTGAAAATCATAATGTAACTGGAATACAGCCTTCAGACTTCTTAATAGCCAGGAGAGTGATCTTAAAATTCATGTAACTCAGAGTTACTTGAAATCTCTCTGTCCCTCTGCCCAAGAGATTTAGGTAATCTTGGTTTGACCTTTCAGTTTCATAGTATGAAAGACCATTGCCTTTCATTTAATTTATTCAAATTTCTGAACTTATTTTTTCATGGTCCCTGTGGTTCCACTCCTGACTGTAAGTATTGCATCAATACAACCCTCTGCCAGCTGGTGCACAGCATCTCAGGATCTTCACCATGGTCCACAAGAAATTAAACTGATTTATGATTTTTGTGACTGTGCCAATTTAAGACTCCAGGAGCTGTGGAAGGAGGCTGTGTCATGTACTGCACAGTCCTCTGCCTTCTAATTGGTTTTCCCTTTGACTGGCTTTCCGAACCAATAACTCACTGTGTGATTATCTCCACGGCCTTTTTAACATTAAATATAGCTTCCCTTCCCCCTACTAGGCCCATCTCACCTCCTCAGGCCCTGAGTTCTTCTGCTGAATAATAAGCTACTCTGTTATTCTATCCCTTTACACAGAAATCTAAGCATATTGCTCCCTTGTTTGAAACCAGTTTGCCATCTCCTGAGCACTTATATGCAGAGCCTAGACACTAGTTCAGCATTCCAGGGTCTCTGCAGTTTGCTCCTTCCGTCCTCCAACACATATCACACATAACTGAAGCCCCGTGAAGCACATTCAGCCCTAATAGGCATGGGAGCTCCTCTGTCCTGGACCTAGGTGCCTCTCCCAATGATGCCAAAATTGCTATACTTTTGTCTGTTTCCTCACTATTATGTGGACCAGGCTTCTGCTCTCTTGGGCAACCCTTCCACAGACAGCTTTCAGTTGTCTTCAGCCTTTCTCAGAGTCTGGGGCAAAATGGGTATTCAATGAATGGATATATGAACAAGTTAACAAATAGACACCACGATCAAAATCTTCCAAAAGGTCTCACTATTTAGAGAATGAAGTCCAAAACGAAGCCTATATCAAGGGTCATCCAGAATCTTCCTGGGTACACTTTACAATTTCTCCCTGGTGCCAAGCCCCCAATTTCCCACACTCCCTCAGCTCTTGTCAAGAGACGTGAAAAGCAGACCCTGTGTCCTGGGGACAATGGGTAAGAGTGGGGTAGGCCTCTGACTTTACCTGTTTGACTGCTGGTGCTTTCCAAGGCTTTTTCTTTTTTCTTTCCTCTCCACCTGAAAGGAAGCAAACTGTCCATGAGCCTCAAAGGCCTCTTCCAGAAAGTCTATAATCCAAGGCAGTAGCCAGAAAAGAAACATTATCCAGTCAAATTCTCCCTTTGGAGGGTTTGTACATTCCCCCTTTAAAGGATAACTCAATAATGAAGAAATGATGGGAATGATGAGGTCTATACAACCATGGTCTCCTCTAGCTAGAATTACCGTATTTTGCCGTGTATAATGCGCACTTTTCCCCCCAAATTTGTGAGGGGAAAAATAAGGCTGTGCATTATACATGGGTAGTACTAATCCCGTATCCATATAAAAGTTTTAAATTCTTTTATTTATGCTTATGAGTTAAAAGTGTAACTCTAGAAATCAAAATGATATCCGTATGCAAAATAATACCCTGGAATACAATAATCAGTTTTGTTGAACTTAAAACAAACTTGTAATGACGGAGTTCTTGGCCTTCTATGATGTGTAAATGTCATACATTTGTTACCGATACATAAAATTTCTTGTACCTTGTATCTGTTCTTGTGTTTGTAATTATTTGTTACATAAAATCTCATGTACCATAATATGTTAAAAAATAAATGCTAAAATTCCTTTATGATACCAAAAACAAGTACCTAAATGTAAACAAATAAAAATTTGAATTAAAAAATTAAAACGAAAGACTTTTTTCCCTGAAACTTTGGGCGGAAAACATGGATGCACATTATACATGGGAGCACATCACACACAGCAAAATACAGTAGTCTACCAGGGTGTTTCCTCTCCAACCTTGAATGTCATTTTTTTCTGGAAAGATAAAGAGATTATGGTCTAGAAAGGGGCAGTGATTTTCCCAGAGTCACCCAACAACTACCGGGCCAATCCAGGGCTAAAGCCCAGCCTTCCCAGTCAGTGAAACTGCTCTTTGCACAGGACCCTGCATGTCCAGTTTCGTGGAAGGTGGGAAGATGGAGGCACTTGCTCTGGACAACCTTCAACACCTGTCCCCTCCCAAGTGATCCACATTGAATCTGCAGTAACAGGTTTTAACTGAACTTTAATGCGAGTCCCTTTCCTTAGAACACTGTCTCGTGCTGTGTGTGAGGAGCTGCAGGCAGCATGAGAAGAAATGAGAGGTTCAGCTCAGAACCCTGTCTTCCTGAGATCTTGCCACACGGGATTACACAAAAAGTGTAACTGTGGTTTTTTTCATCTTTCCAGAACCATTTATACTTTTATTTTGAGGGAAAAGGAACATTTAAAATTATAAATATATGCTTACCAATGAAAATAAAATATGGCAATAATGAAAACTGCAGAAACACCATCCATGAGAAACCACACGAACATATAGTAACTCGGTGTCTGCAAAATAGAAAACAAACCAAAGTCAAAGAACTTTACAGTTAGAAGGGATTTTAGATCATACGGGCCACGTCCCATGCTCTGCTGCCGGGGCTGGGGGTGGAGAAAAGCAGAGGCAGAGGTGGAGGAAACCTTGATTGCTGTGGTGGTCTCAAATACAGACAGTACCTGCTGCTGTCCTAACAGTCACCCTTTCCATGTGGGGGTGCTCTACAAGGGATAAGACACTTCACACCCTTCATCTCCCTGGACCCTCAACACAGAGGCCTGAGGGAGTCCCAGAGAAGTCCCAGAGCAAGTCTGTTCTGAACCCAGGATTACAGCCCGCGTGTCTTGACTTGTAGTGCTCTGTGTATTCATCCTATGGCTTCCCATCCTGGCTGTGAATCCGAATCTACCGGGGCAGCTTTTAGTCTTATAGGTTCCTGGGTCTTTTTAAAGACCTCAGGAATTAGAATTTCTGCATTTTTAACAAGCTTCCCAGGTGATCTGAAGCAACTAGTGTGTGAGCCAGCATTTAGGAATCCTTGTTCTGTTGGGTTGTCAGAAAAGTCATGACGCATTTTTGCAACGAAAAACAGAGGAAAAATACATCATGACTTTTCCGACAACCCAATATATCATGATGCTACAAGCAGTATGTTGCAATCATAATTCTCCCTTAACTAACATGCCCCCTTCTCCATGCTCCTCGCCTGAATCACCCACTTCCGAGAGCTCCATCTCTTGGGTCCTCTTGTGTCAGTTTTATAAATCCCTGGTTTGACCCTTCCTTTCCTTGCCCATCGTTTCCCCTCCAATTTTACCTGATGCTGCTGGGGCTGGCACTTTTTATCCTTTCTTAGGCCGTTCTCTACCCTACCCCAAGGTCTTTACTTGGACTGAATAATATTACCATATTTTGCTGTGCATAATGCACACATTTTGCCCCAACGTGTGAGGGGAAAAATAAGGATGCGCATTGTACAAGGGTAGTACTAATTCGGTATCTATAATATGTAAATGTTTTTAATTCTTTTATTTATGCTTATGAGTTAAGAGTGTCTAACTCTAGAAATCAATAACGATATCCATATGCAAAATAATACCCCAGAATAAGATGATCGGTTTTGTTGAACTTACTATGAACTTGCAACGACAAAGGGTTCTTGGCCTTCTATGATGCGTAAATATCATACATTTGTTACCGGTACATAAAATTTCTTGTACCTTGTATCTGTTCTTGTGTTTTGTAATTATTTGTTACATAAAATTTCTTGTACCATAATATGTTAAAAAATAAACGCTAAAATTCCTTTATAATACAAAAACAAGTACCTAAATACAAATAAATGAAAATTTGAATTAAAAATTAAAATGAAAGATTTTTTTCCCTGAAAGTGTGGGCCAAAAACGTGGGTGCGCATTATACACAGCAAAACACAGTAATATTAATAACAACACTAATGATCATGATAATAATAACTAACAATTAATGAGCATTTACAGGAGCTAAGGAAGTGTTCTAAGTACTTTAAGTACTTAGTACTTTAAGGGTACTTTCACATCTAAACCTCATACTAATTCTATTAGGCAAGTACAGTAGAAACTCTTAACCAACTTCCACTAAACTGAAGCTCTTAATCCTTTCTGGGAGACAGACTGAAGGATGCCCTGGCCTGCTCCAGGATTGCCCCCCAGGTGAGCATCAGCAAGCAACACCAAGAATCAGTTGTTCTTGTCCTCAAATGGCTTAGAACAGTTGTATTCATTGTTATAATTGTTCAGCATAATTCAATGTTACTTAAATCTGTAAAATGAGCGAAAAAAAAGTATGCCATTTCCAAGAAACTAACTCAATGCTTTGAAAAACTCAGTGAAGACAAAATAGGTAGGTCATTAAACAATAAACTGTATTTGAATTAGGTGTGCAGAAACACTCTAAGAGAGTGGGGTGGGAAGATTATAAAAATCTGGGTATAGTCATTCAGATCGTTTCTCCCTGTGACTAAGTTCTTGTTCGGCTTTAAAGAAATAAAACTTAGAAATCATAACTGGTTCATCTGGGTGTTTAAATACAGAATCCAATCAGCTGAATTGTCCTCAAAGAAAAGAGTTTGACTCTGTATCAACAGGTGAATGAATATCTTAAATTAAAATAAAATGTGTAAGGTATGTGTGTGGTACATTATATGATGACCACAATATTCCTCCCCAAATGCAAGCCCGTATGCACTGTGACTTTGCTGTTCTTCCCTGTGAAGAGGTGGAATCAGTTTCCACCTGTCCCACCTTGAATCTGGACTTGGCCGCGTGACTCTCTTTGACTAATAGAAGATTAGCAAACATCACACTGGGAGAATTTGAAAAGTACATTGTGTGCATTGGGGCTTCACCTCCCTTGTTGCTGGGAACTCATTGCCACCAGGTGATCATGTTCAAGCTGGCCTCCTTGAGTATGAATGACCACTGGAGAGAGACCCCAGTCATCCCAGATAAGACCCTAGACATATGAATGAGGCCATCCTAGACCAGACAGCCCAGCTCAGACCAGAGAACCACTCAACCATCATACAGAAGATGACAAATATTTGTTTCTTTTAAGCCACTAAGTTTTAGGTGTTTTTTTGTTTGTTTGTTTTTTAAGTAGGAAAAGCTGATAGACTGTATATCTTTTTTTATGACTCCCACTTTAACTTTTTCAATTAACAGACCAATGATTAGACCAGATTGTTTTGGATAAAAGTGCTTGTATTGTATTATTATCACCAATTTACAAAATAAACAAACTGAGGCACAGTTTAACTGTTTCCAAGTTCACACAATGAGCAGTAAAGCCTAGATCTGAATCTGCGTATTCTAACGCCAGAGCGTGGGCTGCTTGGGAAAGCCCTTGGGCTATTGGCCCCACCTCCCTAAACAAAGTGACATGGGGGTCCTTTAAAACACCCCAGGCCAGTTGTAGAAGGAAATTTTTTTACTTATACACTCTTTTTACTTTTTGAATTTTGAATCACATGAATTTATTATCAATTCAAGTATTAAAATGAAGTTTTATTTAATATATCCAAAGGGACAACTTTGGGATATTACTGCTTTAGAGGAATAGAATTATGGAGGTGTGTGTGTGTAGCTTTCTAATTTATGCATTTTTATAATGATTAAATTTTATATAATGAACAAGTTTTCTTTGTAATCAATTTTAAAATTGTTAGAAAAATATATAGTACCCACATGAAGGGGAATTGTATAAGGACAAATAGGTGGAGGGACTTCACCTTTACCAAGGGACCTGCCATCCAAGGTTTCCTTCAGGATCATCTCCAGAAAGCTGCCCAAGCCACCGAGAAAGAAGGGATCAGCGATTTTACAATGCCACCAGAGGGCCTCAATGCTCTATGGCCATGTGAGATTGTGCCCCTAACCCTGATCTCCTCTCCCCTGGTCCTGACTCTGAAGAGGTCAAAAAAAAAAAAAAGAGGCTAGTGAGGCTAAAGGTATGGAGAAGGCAACCTGGAATATTTAGGCTTCTCTATCTAGCTTTCACTTCATTCTGAATCTTGCATCATGCAACAATGTGCAAAAATCTTAATATCTTCAAGCTTCAGTTTTCTTATGGGGTAATAATAGTGGCTAACTCAGCAGGCTAAATTACAGAACGCATTAAAAGCACATTGCAAAGATTCAATAAACAGCAATTATTAGAAAAATACTAATTTCTCCTTGAAAATCACAGAAGGATCTGGGTGATAAAAGGGAGCATGCCACATCTCCAATATCATAGAAGTCTCTCTGCTCTTAAGTAGCTCCCCAGGGGACAGCTGGCAATGTACGGGTAGGGTAGGGGACACGAATCCCTATTGTACCAGACTTGGAAGAACAATCTGGACAACTAGCTTACCATGAAGAAGTAAGGGTGATTGATTTGCCTCAGGAGCTGAATGTTATCTGTGGTCACTGAATGAATACTGGAGCACCATGCCAGTGAGTAGAGCCAAGGTTCATTGACAAGGTATATGTTGATATTGATGTTAGCTGCTTTATAATCTCTGGAACAAAAACAGAACCCACAGGGGATTTAGACTTAATCTGACTCTAATTACCTAAAAGGGGAATAGCCACCATGTTTGTGAAAGGCTGTTGTTTAAATCATCAGAGGCAGCTGGCCCTGGGACAATTTCTATGACATGCAGAATGGGCTCATGTTGCAATGACATAAAGGCCTGGATTTAATACCCGTACTAATGGTGGTGTGTTAGTAAACTGGATGTCCTAGGGAGGAAAAAGGGAAGGGAGGAGAAGGGTCAAGGAAGAAAAAGAAAAGCCCTATTTGTACTATTTGCGAATTTCCATGGTGCAAATACTCTTACCATAGCCAATTTCAAGCTACCATTGGTAAAACAAGTTTGCAAATTTCTGAATATTTAATAATTGGCTCCCATGAGCTGGTATGAACCAGCTCTAGCACACTATTTGGATAGCAACTATACTTACTTCCATCAAACACTTGACAACCCACTACTCTATCTGCTTTCCTATCAGTCTTCTTTACTTGATTGAGTCTAAGCAAATTAACTGCAGAGACAGTGACATTCATCTCTGTATATCCAGTACCTAGCATTAACACCTACCTTCATAAATAGTAACTGAAGGAATGAATACACAAATACCAATCTGGTGAACATTTAAATTTCATATATAAAAAACTTTTACAAGAACTGAGTAGGGGAAATGGAGCCCAACATTTTTCAATGCATTAAATATCAGCAGATACTTTTGCACTGTCTAGAGAGACAGGAAGAAAGTAAATAGAAGGATATCTAGTAATGCTAGTCAAGCTGTCATTTTCAGGGATTAAATTTCTCAGAAAATATACCATGTAAGTGCCTTCAAAAATTTTTTTTTTGAAAATTGAGTTGGTATAGCATATTGGAAACAGCTCTGAACAAGCTTGGGTTTGAAGCCCACTTCTGTCATATACTAGTGGGGCACATTCTTATGCTCAGTATATAAACATAAGATAAAAATAATAATGCCACCTTTGCAAGAGTGCTGTCAATTAGTTACCCAGTATTTCTGTAAGATGATTCTACAGATCACCTAAAGATAAATTTTAAAACAGAAATAAGGAAACGGTAGTAAAAAGCTACTTTTAAAACTTTTTGAAATCAACACACAAAAAACAATCATATTTCTGTATATTAATAATGAAAATACAAAGACCGAAATTTAAAACACAATACCATTAAAAATCACCCCCCCCCAAAATTAAATAGTTACATATAATCTTAACAAAGTAAGTAGGAACTATAGTTTAAAACTAAAAAATATTGATGAAAGTAATCAAAAATGATTTACATAAATGGAGAGACATATGTATTCATAGATTAGAAGACTTACTATTATAAAGACATCAATTCTCAAATTGTTTTATAGCTTAATGTAATTCTTATCAAAACCTCAGCAACATTTTTTGTACAGTTAGTCCAGCTGATTTGAAAATTTATATGGAAAAGCTCAACCCCAAAGAAACGAAAACAATCTTGAAAAAGAAGAATAAGTTGAGGGGGAATTACCCTACCCAATATTAAGGCTTACTATATAGTTACAAGAGTCAAAACAGTACGGTATTAGAAGACATAAGCACATAGATCAGCACAACATAATTTAATACCCATTAATAGGCCCACACAAATATGCCCAAATGATTTTTGACAAAGATGAAAAAGCAATTAAATGGAATAGAGAGTTTTGTCAACAAATGGTATGGGAGCAATTGGACAGACAACTAAAAAGGGTAAGAATGAAGCTGTAAAGAAGCAGAGTTTTGTATGTTATTGAAGTTCAGCTGGTATATAAATTCAAAATGTTATAACTTTAAGTTAAATGTAATTCCCATGTAATCACAAAGAAAATAGGTATAAAATACACAAAAAAAGAAATGAGAAAAGGATTTTTAAAAAATCAACTAAACACAAAAGGAAACAGTAATGCAGAAAATAAGGGACAAAATAAAATACCAGATAATGGAAACAAAATAACAAATATTTACAGAAATCATTGAAGTAACAAAATGATAAAAGTCCCTCCTTATCAGTAAATATTTTAAATGTAAATGGATTAAGCTCTTCAATCAAAAGACAGAGATTGACAGAATGAATAAAAATACATGATCCAACTTTACATTGTCTATAAAAGACTCACTTTAGATCCAAAGACACAGATAGATTGCAAGTAAAAGGATGAATAAGATATTCCATGCAAAAAGTAACCAAAAACAGTTTGGGTGGCTATATCAATATCAGACAAAATAGTTTTATATCAAAACAGGTTATGAGAGACAAAAGACATTACATGTTAATAAAAGTTTTAATACATCAAGAAGATATAAAAATTATAAACATTTACACACCTAATGACAGATCAGCAAAATTTATGAAGCAAAAACTGACAGAATTGAGGGAAGAAATAGATAGCTACACAATAATAGCTGGAGACTTCAATATCCTATTCTTAATAATGGATAAGTAAGCAGACAGAAATTAAGTAAGGAAATAGAGAAATTAATCAACACAAGAAACTAAGTATACCTAACAGACATATACAAAACACTCAACCCCAACCCCAAAATAACAGTATATACATTCTTTTTAAGTGCACAGGGGACATTTTTCAGGAGAGACTATATATTATATCACTAATTAAGGGTCAGGAGATATAAAAAGATAGATATCATACAAAGTATCTTCTTCAATCACAACAGGTGAAGTTAGAAATCAGTAACAGAAGGAAAACTGGAAAATTCAGATTTGTGGAAATTAAACAATACACTTTTAAACAACCAAAGGATCAAAAAAGAAATCACAAAGGAAGTTAGAAAAGACGTAGATGAAAAAAAAAAAGGAAAAAAAAAGAAAAAGAATCGGGCCAGCCGAGTGGCTCAGTTGGTTAAGAGCTCGCTCAAGGGTTTGAGCTCTGAGCAACAGTGGTTCGAGTCCCGGCCCGAGCTGAGTTGCTGCTGAGCTGACAACAGGTGGCAGGATGGCTCAGCTAAAAAAAAAAGAAAGAAAAGACTTAGATGAATGAAAATGCAAACAACATACCAAAACTCATGGGATGCAGCAAAAGTAGTTCTAGAGGAGAAATTTATAGCAGTCAGTGCTTACACTTAAAAAACAAGAAACATTTCAAATAAACAAACTAACTTTACAAAAACTAGAATACGAAGAAAAAATTGACCCAACATAGCAAGGGGAAGAAAATAATAAAAATTAGAGCAGACATAAACAAAATAGAGAAGAGAAAACCAACAAAGAAAATCAATGAAACCAAAAGTTAGTTCTTTGAAAAGAATGGACAAAAATGATAAACCTTAAGCTAAATGAACAAAAAAGAAAAGACTCAAATTACTGAAATCATAAATGAAAGTGGGGACATTACTACCAATTTTACAGAAATAAAAAGGATTATAAGAGAGGACTAAACACAATTGTTCCCCCAACAAATTGGATAACCTAGGTTAAATGGACAAATTCCTAGAAACACAAAATCGACCAAGGCTGAATCATGAGTAAGGAGTATGGAGAGTGAACGAGTAAGGAGACTGAATCATTAACCAAAAATCCCCTGAAAAAGAAAATTCTGGACCAAATGATTTCACTGGTGAATTCCACCAAACATTTAAAGACCACCAACCCATTAGGATGGCTACATCAAACAGAAATCAACAAGGATGTAGAGGATGTGGATAGATTAGAACACTTCTTCACTGTTGGTACAGCTGCTGTGGAAAACAGTATGGTGGTTCCTCAAAACATTAAAAATAGAATTACCATATTATCCAGCAATTCCACTTCTGGTTATACAGGCACACCTCAGACATATTGCAGACATATTGGTACCTGAACACTATAATAAAATGAATATTGCAATAAAGCCAGTCATACAATTTTTTTGGTTTCCCAGTACATACAGAAGTTATGGTTACACTAACTGTAGTCTATTAAGTGTGCAAGAGCATTATGTCTAAATGTTCTGTTAATGTACACACCTTAATTAAAAAATACTTTATTGCTAAAAAATGCTAACCATCCCTTGAGCATTCACCAAATCGTAATCTTTTTGCTGGTGGAGGGTCTTGCCTTGATGTTGATGGCTGCAGACCAATCAGAATGCTGGTTGCTGACGGTTGAGATGAGTGTGACAATTTCATAAAATAAGACAACAATGAAGTTTGCCCCATCGATTGACTCTTCCTTTCATAAATTTCTCTGTAGCATGCAATGCTGTTTGACAGCATTTTACCCACAGCAAAACTTCTTTCAAAATTGGAGTCAATCCTCTCAAACCATCCATTAGGGTTGGAATCAACTTCTTCCAATCTTTTCTTAATGTTGATATTTTGACCTCTTCCCATGAATCAAATGCTCTTAATGGCATCTAGAATGATGAATCCTTTACAGAAGGCTTTCAATTTACTTGTCCAGATCCATCAGAGTAATCATTATCTATGATAGCTAGAGCCTTACAAAATGTATTTCTTAAATAATAAGACTTAAAAGTCAAAATAACTCCTTGATCCATGGGCTGCAGAATGATTATTGTGTTAGTAGGAATGAAAACAATATTAATTTCATTATACATCTCCATCAGAGCTCTTGAGTGACCTGATGCATTATCAATAAGCAGTAATATTTTGAAAGGAATCCTTTTTCTGAGGTCTCAAAAGTGGGTTTAAATATTCAGTAAAACATGTTATAAAAAGATGTGCTGTCATCCAGGCTTTGTTATTCCATTTATAGAGCACAGGCAGAGTAGATTTAACATAATTCTTAAGGGCCCTAGGATTTTCAAATGGTAAATGAGCACTGGCTTCAACTTAAAGTCTCCAGCTGCATTAGCCCCTACCAAGACAGTCAGCCTGTCCTTTAAAGCTTTGAAGCCAGGCATTGACTTCTTCTCTGTAGCTGTGAGAGTCCTAGGTGGCCTCGTCTTCCAACATAATGCTCTTCACCTACATTGAAAATTTGTTTAGTGTAGCCACCTTCAT